TCCAGCATAGAGTCTTCTCCAAAATATGACTTGGGTTGAAATATAATTGTCTAATATGGAAGGACAGAACTATTTGATGCCATTAAAATTCTATATTCAGTCTTTCCACGGGATCTGACCTAGTTCATCTGCCTCACCTAAAAGTTTTTCATAATCTAATTCTGCCTTGTCTATCTCTGGCTAAGGAAAATAAATAATGAGAAATAAATTCTCTGGATTGGGTCTTCAAGTCACACTAAACCAGGTTGGTAAGTAGCAGGCCAGAAGTAATCTGTGAGGGGAAAAAAAAGGTATTGTTATTTGCAATGTAATTCCTGGTGGCTTGGATGTCAGGTCTGGAGTGCTGGGAGGGAGGTGGAGAAGGAATTGGGGGAGGGTAGATAGAGGTGGGGAATGGAAAAGAGGACAAGGGAGGTGTTTAGCTTTCATTTGCAAGCGTGATACCCGCTGCTTTGTTTATGGATTTGATGCTATTCATATAGTCTTTGCAATATTAATTTTTAATTTATGATGCTCATTAGGAGACACTTAAAACAGAACAATTATCATTTATCTTGATATATTATTTACTAGGACTGACTGTCATGGTTAGGGGCCCATGATTAGTGAGAGGGGGATGGAGAAGATCTTCCAAAGGTGCTGGGGTAAAAGGATAGGAGCTTAGGAAGCAGTTGTCAGAACCCAAGGCCCAAAGTTCTGATGTCGAAGTGAAAGCCACACAATCCCTAATCAAGACTCAGGAGGCCCTCTCCAAGACAAGCCTGGAATAGTACTTAATGAACCTGCAGGATCATATTAATGAGACTCTCTCTTAGGCTACCAGCTCATCAATTATTCATCCAGCTGCATTCCTGATACTTTGCTATCTTCCTCCTCTTTTTGCATTGGTGTGATTACTTTTTTTTAACCCTCCATTTCCTTACCTGGAGTGTAAACAAAGCCTTCTGTTCTATAGTTTCCTTTTCTTCTGCTCAAACACCATCTCTTCTCAGTACTCGTCCAGGATATCAAACATGATAATGGAAGTCTGCTACAGGAGAAATCTAACTTCTGAGAGTGTCAGGGAATTAGGGCACTCCTGACTTTTTGCCTCCTTCATACTCTGGGCTTGTCTGTACATTGCGCTGATTATCACACGGTGTTATAATTATCTATTTATGTATGATTCTTCCCCATTAGACTGTGAATTCCTAGAGAATGCCTGATATGTAACAGTTACTGAATAAGTAAATGAGTGAATGAATAAATGAATGAATATGGGTGCTCAGTTATGCCTAATATTCAGCCCTGTCTATCTATAGTCAAGAAGATTGGGAGGCTGAGGCCTAAGCACTGCCTGCATGTTCCAGAGGAAGCTAAATGAAACAGAACATAACAGAATTCTGCGTTTACAATCTGGGTCATTCAGGTGAAGATATGTCTGTAAGCTTGGTGTAGAAAACTCACCAAGTCCGTGTGGTAATCAGTTCTACATATGATTATTTTAATAATTTGTTTTAAAGAAATTACTACAATCGACCATAGTTTTAGGCACAGAATTATGTTTTATACAAGTGAGAGGAGAATTTCAGTGAGCTTTCTGAGTGAAGATCAATGTTCTTAAGGAGGAGGGAGCTTTGGAGTGGGACAGCAGCTGAGCTTGTACTAAGTATATTATTTGGTTCACTCGCTCAAGGTCAATCAGGAAGCCAGTTTCCCTTCTTCAGGAAGAGAAGTGGTGGAGGCTGTGATGCTGATCAAGGTCATTACCCCATATAGATAGTGAGGATAGAAAAAAACAAAGACTGCAAGTGTTTTTCATTTGTCCTGGGCAGGTGGGATGATGGACCGTAGAGGTAGCACTACCCGAAAGGCAGATTGACAAGGTGAGGCAAGGCAGAGATGGGTGTGAGGAACCGTCTTGACATTCCATCCCCCAGCATTATGTCCAGCAAGTTATGACTACTCAAATACTAGAAAAGAAAGCAAAGATCCAAATGATTAGAACGAATAAAAGGAAGTAAGAATATGGGGATATAATTGCTCAGCTTTGGCAGGCAGGCTGCAAAGCCAAAAGTGATTGGAGACTTTTGCCAAATGGATTCTTGTTAAATCTCAACTAAGTTGCAATTCTATGGGGTCGTATCTAGAGAAGCATTGTCTGGAAGTTCTCTCTATAGACCTTTACGTTGGCTCTCATCAGTGAGTCATGCTGCGAATGGGTTATAAGTATGCTTGGGCTATTGCTGTCCTTACTCCTTGAGGCACCTAGCTGGGCTGGGATGGTTGGGACCCTCCAGCTGTTTGTCCTGTACCAAGAGAAGCCTTATCCATTGATCTTATGTTATGGATTCTAAAATTCATGTTATTTTTTTCTCTCATTTAACATTTCTGAAATTGGAATGTGTTTTCCCATGAATATTTTACAATCTCTTTTGGCCAGGTGGCAGTGATAAGGTAGTTGTTATTGCCTGCACATGCCAAAACCTGGTCCCAGCTGTTCATGCTATACAAACTTCAGTTGAGTGATGTGCATTGTACTGCTTGCATTGGGTTGAGTTTCCCTTAAAGTGTCTTCAATAAAATACACTATGATTTAGCATTGAAACAAAACAGTTATTATGCACATGGAAAGGCAGGGAAACAGAGAAGTATGTATAAATGTGATGTTGATAAAGGAAAATAAGTCACAGAAGTGATGAACAGCCAAATGCTTTATGAGTTTTGAAGAAAGGAAGATGCCCACAAATAGATGCAACCTGTCTGAAGCGAAGCTCTTCAATTAGAGGTGGGAAAAATGGTTTTCTCTTTTTTAGGGATAAAGTAATGATGTGTCTTTCAGTGGATAGATTTTTAGCTTCTAATCATTTTCTGTGTGTGTCATGGTGTAAAATACATTGGAAACCCTGGCTTTAAGCTCTTGGATTATTTTTTCTCATTCGAGCTTTCTGGTAAATAAATAATTTAAATTCAGCATAAACTTTTAAAATTATTAAAATAGTAGTACTGGTTGTGTAAAAGAATAGCTACCTTGTGACTGATTTACCATGTCTTGTATACAGTATTAATTTTTATCTAATTTCAGTTTAGCTTTACATGTTAAAGATGGAATTAAACTGCTGGTCCTTGAGGCAGTTTAAGTTCAGGCAATTGATATAAGTGGTGGGTACTGAGTCCAGCTTTGCCATTCCCAGTGGGAGCAATGGGAAGCGCTCAGAGGGTAAGAGTCAATAGGTTCTTTCTGTGTTGTGTATAATATCTGTAATACACACTTCATGCTGACTGCATGTGATTAAACAGGATGCAATCTCTAATTTTTGGAGGTCTAATTAGAGGCTGGCCTCCAACTATCACTAGCTTCTTCATCAAAACAGACTAGGTCATTCTGAAAATGCAACTTAAGGATATAAATTAGAAAATCAAATAATTTTAGGTACAAAGTATCTTGAGATGATTTGGTTCAATTCTTTTATTTTAAAAATGCATAGACTAAAGCCCAAAGAAATGAAATGGCCACCTGGCATCTCACAGCTTGTTTGTGGCAATAATTAGGCCTTCTGCGCCTGGTGGAGTGTCCTGCCACCATCACACACATGGGTCTTGTGAGGCAAATTTCCACATAAACAAAATGTATAATTTTTATGTATTTTAGTTATGTATAAAACCTTATTAGATCCAATTCTTCTTCTAAATCTTCATGCTATTTGCACCGATGAAAACTTACTGAGATTTCATCACTAGAGACTTAATCCTGGGCTTAAAAATACACTATTCAGTCTTAGAAGTTTTCACTTCTGAGTTATTATGACCTTGGTGATTTTTACTGTTCATCGTTTAATCTTTCTATTTTCCCAATATAAAAAAATGTAAACTTGGAAAAAATGCTTCAATCTCTCTTGGATTTAAAAATGTATCAGCTTGACTCTAACCAGGAGGGTAGAGATGAGGAAGTAGGTAGCAAAAGTCATTTTCCCTCCTCTCTATTCCACTTCCTCCAATGGAATTGACAATATATTTTAGAGGCCTATTAAACTGATAAATACATTCTGGATGGAATGACCCATCTTACTGATTTTAGGATATGACATTTAAGGGCTTCTGAAGAAAGAGCAGAGAGGGCTTGCCAATATATCTTAGTATACAACAAATTGAGGTTGACTCTGCCTTGCTTTTTTATGTTTTGCAGCAGATGAAGCTTCAAAACTAAAATAGAAAGGAAAATATTTACAGTGTGTAGTGTGTGTGGGGGGGTATCTAAGATGTAACGTGTATGTGTACACACATAGACACACATACCCATTTGCTTCATGCATGACATAGATTTTTCTTCCCCACTACAGATCTTAAAGGTTAAGAATACCATTGTCCAGTATGCCCACAAAAGCCTGAGTGAAGCGTCACCCTTCTCTATATGGAAACTTAAATTTTTTTAGTATTTATTCTCAAAATTAACTTCACCTTGGTTGTGTAGTTTATCTAGATTAAATATCAAGTATCTTTTCAAATAAAAAATATGAAAATAAAAAAATTTAAGAATAAAGAAAACAAAGAAAGAAAAGGAGAAGGAAAAAGGAACTCTCTTCTCCCTGAAATAAAATATAAGGGGCATGATAACATCAGAGAGACTTTCAAAACCATGCCTAAAAAAAGCCTGGTGCCTGGAAAGATGATACATGATGGTCAAGTGAACTGAAACTCATGGCTTGAGTCACTGTGAAAATAAGTAATACATGCATTAGCATTACAAATCTGCTTCTTGACAATGTATAGAGAAAGGTTATTAGAATGAACAATTTTAGAAAAGTGATAGCATGCAAACTGCCATTCAAAATAGAAATAATTTACTTTACCTATGACTATTTTATAACATGAGGAGCTTTGCTAGATTTTTTTGTTGAAAATGTGTTGTTGTTGTTCTAAAAGTCTTTGGGATAATAATTCAAAGTTGTGCTGAGCTGTGGAGTGAGCACAGGAGTAGAGGTGATGGTGTTTTGTCCAGTTCCTGACAGGGACTTACTTACTAGGTATCTTACAGAACCAGCTCCAGGGTGGGCAGTCCTGAACCTACGTGTCCCAAACTGTGTGGGGGCTGACTAAGATCATTGCCCTAATTACCTCTAACTTCAAAATTCTGTGGTTCATTTGCTTATCTTGTGTGATAAAATCTATCTGAAACCTTTACCAGAAATGAAGATAGAAAATAACCATTAGATCGGAAGAAAAAAGTCTACATCCCTCCCCCGCTCAAAATAGAAATTTTTCCCATCGAAAACTATATTCTGGCCTCAATTGCCATCACATACACTTGCTAAGAAATTAAATTTGTCAACTCTTATTTCCAGTCACTAGTGGGGCATAATATCTTCAAAATGTCATTTGTGCTCATTACCCCTCAATACAGTGAAGCATCAAAGTTGAATGTCCACTTAGGCTTTCTCCTCTTCACCCTCATGTCTTAGTCATTTAAAGAACAATGCTTTTGAGTAACGGAGTTACTGTTTCCTCCTGATATTTTTTTTTCTTACAAAATTCAGTTTCCTTGGCAGCTCCTAAAGGGAAAATTCAATCATGAGATGTACCATAGAAGAGGGCACCATGCTACTTTTAATATTAGCCCGTCTTAATCTAGATAAGGTCATCAAACTTTTCTGATTTTTGCCTGGGGAGAACCAGCCCCCGCCCAACTTTATTTTTTAAACATATATCCTTTTGTCTGGTTGGCCAGTAATTGACTTTGTCCCTTTTTTCATTTATTTCCCTGTCTCCTGGTTGTATCATCTTCTCCCAGGAGTCTTAGGTTAGAAGTTTTCCCTTTTGTGAAACCATGACAGGTGCCTAATTGAATGATGAATGTCCCTTTATTACTCTGTAATTGAACTGCCAGCTTTTTGATTGGTTTGTAGAGATGTTCCCGCCCGCATCAGGCACTGCAGGGGGCTTGGTAGTTGGCAGTCTGGTCCTACACTCCATCTGTCTAATCCCATCTAGCCCCTACTTGCTTTTTTGGGGGTGGTGATAGAGGTAGAGAGTGAGGGGGAGGGAAGTCATAATAAATTATGCTAATTCCATGTGGCTCTGACAATGAGAAGATCGTATTGTTCCGTGCATCTTGGGGGTAAATGCTTCAAGACATTTTGTCATCATGGGTTCCTAGCCTGACAGGCCCAGGATGAAGATTAATGGGCCTCACCTGAGTGACAGAACAGGGGATTGTGGGGAAGAGAGGGTCATTCATCATACTCTGACAGGTGTCATTCAATCCGACAGCAGCTCTACCGTCACCCAGCTAGCAGTTCCATTTTTCTGCCAGTTAAGCAAGGAGTTTAATAACATCCCCAGAATTAAAACTCATTCTTTGTAGCAGGTCTGACAGCTGAAAATAAGAAAATCAATTCTTCACATGTTATAGCACAGTTAACTGACTGGGGCTTTGACTCTAATTTAGTCTTTGGGCTGCATTTCAAGCAAAGAGCTTTTTGTAAGACATCATCTATTAAAATTTACCCATAGTGCTAACTTTGGGGTTGTTATTATTGTGGGTGCAACAAAGATTCAGGCTTGCATGTCCAGTGTCATTTTACTCACTGCATGCTGAAACACATCCCTGCAGTAGCTGGGTCTCTCCTACTTTATCCTCATTAACAATGTTTACTGTTTCTCTCTTCATTAATATTGATCCCCTCCCCAACTACCAAGAACAATAAGACAGACACTAATTTGAAACATTTGGTATCATTAAACTGTTTGGATTTCAGGTTTCAGGGATCCTGGAAGGCAGAGAAAATGGTTCAAAAATTAAGAAGGGGAGTTAAATTTTGGAGCTTTAGCTTGAGCTGATGAATGATGACACTCTAGGTTGATAGGTGTGATAGACTGCAAAACAGAACTCTGGATTCCCTTTGTCCCTCTTCTTCTCTGCAGAAGTAATCTGTCTCTTCATCTCCATGAATCTTATGCCTGTTGTTAGTTTTGACCAATATAATGTGGCAAAAGTAATGCTATGTAACTTTGAAGCCTGGAGCTTAAGGGATCTGTACTTTCTACTTTTACCCCTTGTGGAACCTAGATACCATGTTAGATGTCGGTCCACCTTGCTGTAATGAAGCTCAAACTAGCTACATGGAAGAAAGAGAGGCTACATGGAGGTGCATGAAGTCCCCAGACATATGAGTGAAACATTTTTGGATTTTCCAGCCTATTTCAGCTGCCAGTTGGATGTAGCCACATGGAAGCCATCTTGGACATTCCAACTCTAGCTGATGTCATACAGAACAGAAGAATGGCCCTGCTGAACACTGCCTAAATTTCTGGCCCACAGAATTGTGAGCAAATAAAATTGTGGTAGTTAAAACCATTAAATTTTGCGCTAGTTTGTTATATAGCAATGAATAACTGAAGCTGAGGGTGAGATATTATAAGGGAGATAGGTACACAGCTGTTTCCTGTAAACACTGATGTGAAAATGTGTAGTTTTGGAGGCAACATTGTTCAAATTCTCCCTGTTTGAGTACCTTTGCCAACTCTTGTTGAGCCCTCCCCCATGACCACTTTCTCTTGTATATGACAGAATAGTTTTCAGTACTTTTTTTTTTTTTTTGGTTGAGAGAAGCTGTGTCATTGTGTGGCTGAAGATAAATTGTCACATTATTTCTATCCTTCATAGTCTCATTGTCCCCATCTTATACAGCTAGGGTCAAAGAAGGCATTTTTGTAAAATAAATTCCAAAATTGGAGTATTTAGTTCATGGCACAATGCTGAGCATAAAGGGTTGTGAGTTATAGACACTGATGAAATAAACCAGATTACTGGTTAGTCTCACAGGGTGCCATTTAGGCACAGCACATATAGATAATTATTTTCTTGTGAATTATCTAATTTGATTTTCAGTGGTAATTAGATTAGCCAAAGACTTGGGTAAAATAATGTATTGGAACATCACAAATGAAAATTATTCTATCTCTGCTGCCTTTACGGAGACAGACACCATAATTGTAACTCTTTAGATTTCCAAGTAATAATATCAGAAAGCACTGGGGTAAAAGTGTGATGTGAAAGACAACTATTTGTTTAAGGAGAAAATCTTTAAAGGTACATGTTATAAGTACACAGAGGGCATGTGATAACAATTTTGGACTTTCCAAATCCAAAAGTAATGGATATTTATTATCGTAGAAGAACATCTGAAGTTTGGGGAGAAAAGAATTATATAAGGGCAATAGCATCTTGAGGAAGGTCTTGCGCCCATGGTTAATTCCAGGGAATGAAACAAAAGTAAGGATCACCACAGCAACTTTTATTATAGTAATTTATACAGCAGAAATTTTCCTTTCCTTAAAAGCATCATTCAAAACACACACGTGAATGTTTAGACATTGGGTTCATGATACAATGTCTTTGAGACAAGTAAGTTTCACTTGCCTGAGGAGTCTTAAAAAGAGGCCACTAAGGTGCCATGATGTTGAATGAATGGACTGTATTGGCCTTGCCTCCTTAAGAATTTCTGCTGGGTGCAGTGGCTTATGCCTGCAATCCCAGCACTTTGGGAGGCCGAGGTGGGAGGATCCCTTGAGATAGAATTTGAGACCAGCCTGGGCAACATAGTGAGACCCCGTCTCTACAAAAATAAAACATAAAAATGAAAATTAGCTGGAAATGGTGGTGCATGCCTGTAGTCCTAGTTACTTGGAAGGCTGAGATGGGAGAATCCCTTAAGTCCAGGAGTTCAAGGCTGCAGTGAGCTGTAATTGCTCCATGACACTCCAGCCTGAGTGATAGAGCAAGACCCTGTCTCTAAAAAAATAAAAATAAAAAGATAAAAAATTCTGCTGTCCTTAATTAAAAATTTATCTGCAGACTCACATGCCTGTTCAGAGTCAATATCTCCTGACCCCTAAACACTTGTGCTAAAACCTAATGATTTGATTATATCTCCTTAGCATTTTTCATGAATTATTTTCCTATTTTAGGTTTTCCTACTCCATGTCAACACTGATATTACAAAGGATCCCTGTCTTGATACCCTACCCTTGGGATAAATGGTGGAACATTTATGTATATATGGTGGTAGACTGTCTTTTCACTGAGCCTGCAGCCCAAGAATTAATTATAAAACAAATTATCAACTTCTAATAATCTTTCTGCAGCTAGAATAATCAGTTCATTTTAAAGCATCTGGGGCAATGCTTTAATACAAAGCGTACTGTATTAATTAATGGTTTATAAGCTAGCAGAGAGCCTGGCACATAGCAGATGCTCAAGAAATGGTTAGGAATAAATATTAACAAGCCAATCCATAATTATCAGCTGCTTACTGACTATAGCAGTTAAGAGTTTGCACAATATGAAAAAGTTACATTCACTGACTTCTAAAAATGTAGTTGAGACTAGGCAATTCTAATTCACTGCCCTGAATCTATGGATGTTTTTGTTTGTAACCAAGTACCAGGCTCTAACATATAAATGATTTATTGGAGGTAGAATTTTGAATTAAGAGTTAGAAGAGCCTAGAAATAAACCCAGGCGCATACGGTCAATGATCTTTGACAAAGGTGCCAAGAATATACAACGGGAAAGAGATAGTCTTTTCAAAAAATGAAATTGGGCAAACTGTATATCCACATGCAAAAGAATAAAATTGGACCCTTACCTTACACAATACACAAAAATGAACTTGAAATGAACTAAAGACTTAAATGTGAGTCCTGAAACCATAAAAGTCCCAGAAAAAATAAAGAAAAGGCTTATTGACATTGACTGTGGCAATGATTTCTTTGATATGACAACCAAAAGCACAGATAGAAAAAGCAAAAATTGACAAGCGGGATTACATCAAACTGAAAAGCTTCTGCACAGCAAAGCAAACCATCAACAAAATGAGAAGACAACCTACAGATTGGGAGAAAATATTTGCAAACCATATCTGATAAAGGACTAATACCCCAAATACATGAAGAACACATTAGCAAAAACCCAGATAACCCAATTAAAATAATGGGCGAAGGAATTGAATAGATATTTCTCCACAGAAGATGTACAAATGGCCAACAGGTATATTAAAAGGTGCTTAATGTCACTAACCATCATAGACATGCAAATCAAAATCACAGCGAGATATCCTGTCACACCAGTTAGAAGATCTATTATCAAAAATATGTAAAGAACAAATTTTGGTGAGGGTGTGGAGAAAAGGGAACCTTTATACACAGTTAGTGGAAATGTAAATTAATGCAGCCACTATGAAAAATAGTATAGAAATTCCTAAAAAGTAAAAAAAAAATCGGGGTACCATATGATCCAGCAATCTCATTTCTGGGTATATATCCAAAGAAGTGAAATCAAGGTCTTGAAAAGACACCTGCCTTCCCATGTCCATCTCAGCATTATTTACAATAACCAAGACATGGAAACAACCTAAATGTCTATCATTGGATGAAAAGATAAAGGAAATGTGGCCTATACATACAATGGAATATTATCCAACCTTAAAAAAGAAAGAGATACTGCCATTGGTGACGACATGGATGAATCTGGAGAATGTTACGCTAAGTGAAGTAAGCCAGACAGGAGGATAAATACTGCACATTTTTACTTATATGAAAAATCAAAAATAGTCAAACTCATAGAAGCAGAAAGGAGAATTATGGATTCCAGGGCCTATGGGAAGGGAGAAACAGAGAGGTAAAGGTCAAAGGGTACAAATTTTCAGTTACGCAAGATGAGTGAGTTCTACGGATATACTACTGTACAGCATAGTGCCTATAGTTAATAATACTATATGCCGCGCATCTGCCACAGTGATATTGGACGCAGCAATAGGCGCTATGTGAAGAAACACCGGGAACTACTTAATTTGTTGTCTGCTGCAGTAGTATTATATAGTCTTGAGAAAAGACCGAGCAGCGTTTCCTGAGTCCAGACAAACACACAGGCTTTAGGTGTCTGCGAATCTAATTCCTGATCATCTCAGAAAGTTCGTTGGTATCCGATCTGTCAATCTCATCGGTGGATTCCGGCCTCTTGCTAAAACTTATTCCAATCATGGCTGTGGGAGATTATCACTCTGCCGTGAGCCACTCCGCGTCAGCATCGTAAACTAAACACACAACAACAAATAGCGCGGGCGTGTGGCGGCGTGTACGTCAGCTATCTGGAGGCCTGAGGCAGACAGAGGAGTGAACCGAGGGGACGCTTGCAGTGAGCCGAGGATGGCACCATCGGTACCCCAGCCTGGCCAGAGAGACGACTCATCTCAAAAAAAAAAAGAAAAACAAAAAAAAAAAAAAAAGGTCAGCAACCACTCCGATGTAGCTGGCTCAAGCCTATAATCACAGCACTTTGGGAAGGATCCGGGCGAAGGATTGCGTTGAGCCACGGGGGAGTTAGACCAGCCTAGGCAAATAATGAGTACTCATGCTTTAAAAACAAAAAAAAAAAGTGGTAAAAATGTGGATGATACACTTACATTTGCT